TCTCCTGCATCTCTGGGACATAGTAAACATGATCAATCTGGCGAGTGACACCATTCTTCAGCTCAATAAGTATGGAACCAACTCCTTTTGCTTCATAAAACTTGGCCCCAGCAGCTCGAACGATTTTTCCAGGAGGAATCTCGGCATAAGATAAATAAACTTCCTTGTATGGCACGATATGAAAAGCAGCAAAGCCATAAAATCTTAGACTCACGAAAGGTAGAGCTCGCCACATATGCTCGACCAGGACCTGCACCATCTGGAGGTACATATTTCCCAGTAGCGATATCTGCGGCTTTCTTCCGACACTCTTTTGCATAATGGCCTGGGATCTTGCAATAATTACAGCAACCTGGCTTGCGTTTCTTCTTCTTTGAATTATTGTTGGAACTCCCACTACAACTGTAAGTTGGAGTCTCATTGGATCCAAAAGTGTGAGAATTGATAAATTCACCAAAATCAGTCGCAAATTACCACAACACATCAGCCTTGAGCAATAAAAGTAGTGGATTTAGTCTTGGTCTTCAATTTCTGCTGTTGGCGTTCTTCTTCCTTGAGAGATGAGCACATTGCAAAAGTGAGTTGGCCTTGAAGATTCTAAAACGACTCTCATACTCCTTGATATCAAGAATGCCATTGATCAGGGCTGCTCACTTGTCCACATTAGTCAAAGGCTGCTTTGCATCTCGAAGGTGCTTCTCATAGTAGAGAATGTCATTGATAAACTTCTCGACAGATAATTGGGGATCCATCTTTAAAGTGAAGAACTCACCCTTCAACTTGACCACATGTTCAATTGTTTGAGCACCAAGAAACTGGGTTAAATTGGTCAATTTGTGGGAGTATTGTTATCAAGATCAAGAAGATGAATATATTGCTCGCCTAGGCCAATACCCATTGTAGATAGGGCTTGCTTGTGCAGCTTCCAGTCTACTAATTCAGGAGCACCTTGGGCTCTTTGCCTGCATCACAATTATCACGCAAGAAAATGAGTGTCAGGAGGGCAGCCCAATTTGCAAAATCTCCCTTGTACAAAGGGATTAAACACTGCTCCAATGCACTGGCAGCAGTACTACTGCTTGCCATGTTCTGCAGTACTCTATGTAGTCCACAGTTGTTGATCAGAAAGCACAGGTCTCTCCTAGCATGGTGAACCATCAGGATCTACAATCTGATACCATGATAATGATAGAGGAGACGCTAATGAGAGCAACTACCCCCATGCCACGTGGCAGAAGCCTAGACTTTGACTAGGACTAACACCACACTCTTTGTTCCTTGCTATGGCTTTAATCTTGCCACTAGCATATGGTCTTGGCTGTGAATTGTTAGGCTCCCACTTCTAAACATTTGAATCTCCATAAACATCTTTCCCAATTGTTGAAAATTTCTACAAAGAATTGTTATGCAATATTTTTGAATTTTATTTGATTCAATTCTTGATGTGGGTTGTTGAAATTTCTCAATCTCCCATTGGCTTTATGCTTTGCTTGCTACTGCTTGCTGCTCAGTGCCTCTGCACAGCCTGGTGCCTTGATGCCACACCTCAAGCATCTAGCGCATCTAACAAAAGCTTCAAGCATTGCAAAAAAGATTGCAATCAAGAGGCTCATCCTCCTTCTCGTCACTAGCCTCTTGGCCAGCAAGTGCCATGCCCAGGATCAAGGAGCCAATTGCTCTAATACCATGTTAGTAGTAGAGAGATGTGCACAAGGAGGAAGATCAATTGTATATGAATGGTACATATACATGAAATTACTTCATCTCTACCTCTAACACATAGCACTTCCATTTCTTCTTGTCTCCCAATACTGAGCTGAATAAAGTAAAAGTCTTGCGCTTTATTTAACTTGTAAATATCAGCAATTTCCAGGATGTTGCATCAAACGCAGATCACTTCATCAGGTTCACCTTTTTGGGGCACATTCCAGTGCAGCTCCCAAAGCCGTTCTTTTTGCAGCAGTAGTGTTCCTTGGATGAGTCGCACAGCTGCAAACAGCTGCCAAATCCATTCTTGAGGCAGCAGAAATACTTGACGTTGGGCTCACATAGCTGCAGGCATCCAAATGCATTCTTCAGGCAGCAGTGGTATGTGATGTTGGAGTCACACTCCTGAATACATCCAAAGCCGTTCCTCAGGCAGCAGTACGTATCTTGGAGGCCTGCAAGCATCAAAAGCAGAGAAGCAGTAATAAATATCACAAGGACAGCCATGATCACAACAAGAGGGATTATAACATGATCTAAGTTACCATGTTTTAGGGTGTTCCAGATGACAATATTGAGATTAGCAATGTCGTTACCTTCACGAGGCCCCTCTACAATGTAAGTCACATCACTTTCCTTGTCAGTCACTAAAACAATATCTACAGGTTAGAGAAACGATTTGCAAGAGATTTTGCAAGAGTACTCTGAGTGTTGCGAGATCCATCAGCTACGAAGAGCAGCAGGCCAAAGAGGAGGGGGGAAAGAAGAAACACTTTGGCCATTCTCCTTGAACTGAAACCAGAAATATTATGCTTGGACAATACAAGGTTTTGCATCTGCTTATAAAGGGGAACGGCTGCATGCATCACGTGGGTGTCCCCACATGACGCATTCTTAAGATTCCTAATAGGGCCATATTTCACTGGAAGGCCTTAAACTAACTACTATATCACCAAGAAGGGAAGACTTTATGAATGTGAATCCAAAACAAAAGTCTTCAAAGCAGTTTATTATAATCCGTCGGTCTTAAGACCTTGTAAATAGCGCATTTTAAAAGCGCCCGAATATCCACCAGAATATCTGTTAGGGTTTAGGGTTTTAGGGTTCGTCGTCTACTACCTCGCCAAGGAGCAGGGCTGCTCCCAGCATTCAAGCTCGTGCAGCTCGATCGCAAGTATGGCGTCCTCAGCTCGGCGCACTGCCTGCTGGATTTGTGCGCCAGAAACTTGGTAGCCAACTTCAAAGAATCCAGGACAAGAGACGACTGCGTCATGGCTTCTTTGGCCCAGGCACCTCCCACATTGGGGGAGCCACCGTGGAGCACAACATCGACCATTCTCAACCCATTCTGGTCGAGAATCTTCCCAATATACGACGCGCATTTTGGAGTGGTGATATCGCCCTGGAGCGACAGCGCTGGAGCGACAGCGCCCCTCTCACTGGGCGAATCGGCACCAGATCCACGCCGATTACCACAGACCTCACGGGCATCTTCTCCACGGCCACCTGCATCCATCCCCCGGGAGCCGAACGTTTGTCACCAAGGTACGAAGAATTCTTTTTCTTCCTCCATTTTTGAAATTTTCCTTCTTCTGTGATTCCCAAAATTGGGTTTTTTCTTGCAGGTTTTCCGATCCCAAGATTATAACGCGCTAAAGTATGCTTTTGCATGGTTTTCTGAGTGATAATTCATTGCCTCTTGTGTCCTTTGGTAGCTTTTGGCCAAGGTGGAAGTCACGAAACCCATAGTATACGTGGTTGGTCTCAAGTATCTGGCACCCGTGAAAATCGATCCGCGTAACTTGGACCCTCGCTTTTTATTTGAAGAGATTCCTCAGCCCCCAAAGGTGGGTTTTGTTATTGTAAACAAGGTGCTTGCGCTAAAGCCGAGTAAATTGTGTAGGTGGTCGACGTTCTTCGTAGTAGTAAACAGAAACGTCACCGCGAGGGGTGGGTTCTCACGCCAAATAGACTCTTGGTTTTATGTCTTTTTTCTGCAGATACGATGATACTTTTCGTAAAGAGCAGACTTCATCTGGTCCGAAAAACCATTACGTCTATTTCGTTTGAGGATCCGAAAAGTTTGCCAATCAAAGACCACGCTGAAACAACTGACATTTGCTTGTTCTGATTCGGAGGACTTTTTTCTTGTAGGTAGAGGCATTATGCGAAGATCTTAGACTTCTGGGCAAGAAATAATTCAAGCAACTTTTGAAGTAAGTTTTACTTCTCGTTGCTGTTGTCTTTCATGCTCATTTGGTTCTCTCAGGTGGTGCCTGCATGTACGAAAAGCTCTTTTGAAAACGGCAGCTTCGGAGGGTGATAAGGCTGCTGAACAGGATGACGACGAAAAAGAAGAAGATGAAGACGAGGATATGCTAAAGAAAATGGAGGAGCTCAAGTCTCTAATGGATTCGAAAAGCAAGCAGGCGAAAAAGAAGGCTGCCAAGCGTAAACAGAAGGTACATATTGTTTGTCTATCTTTTGGTGGTGGTGTATGTTGATGAGAGAACAGGGATGCAAGTCGATGTCACTTATGGCGAGCGGTATCTGTTCTCTTTGGCTCAATCAAGGTATGTTTATCCGCTTTCTCGTCATGCCTATGAGCTCATGTTGGATGCAGGCGAAGAAAAGCTTGGATCGGGTCGAAGATGCGGATGACGACATGTTGGACAAAATGAGTAAGCAGGACATGGAGCGGAAGGATGACGAAGACAATGATGTGGATTCTGACGTCGAGCGCGAAAGGTAAGAAATACGCCTTGTAAGTGTTAACGCATCGACGAGCTGGAATCTTTCTTTGATCGTGCATATGAACGCTGCCAGAGCAAGACTGAAAGCAACACTGCACGGCGGAAACGCGGAAGAAGGGCTAATGCAGGAGACGAAAAGCTGTGGGAGGTAAGCCAAATGAAAGTGTTAGAACTTGCAAGCAGCTGACAATATCTTAGGAGGACGTGGAAGAGAATGCTTCTGAGAAGAAGAGGAGGAGGACGCCAATCCTCTCATCGTGTCGCTCCCCAAGGCCAAGCTCTCGAAGGAACAGATTGCACAGCAATGGTTCAGTCAAGACATCTTCGCCAGTTTAGATCAAACCTAGGAGACGGATACCAACACAAGGACGCTTCTCTGACCGATGTCACGGTTGCGCCAGGAAAGCTCAAGAGAGCACGGGAAGACTTCGAGGTTGTAGCAGCCGAGCCGAGTGGTTCGTTCGACTCTTCCTCGGACGAAGAGGAGGACTAGAGATCCTCACTTATGAAGATGCTGCGGAAGAAGGACAGGGACAGGATCATCGACGACGCGTACAACTAGTACATGTTCGACGACGAGAAGCGGCACTGCAAGGTTCAGAAGCCATTCACCAAGGAAGATGACCAGGCGATGAGGACGCAGTTTAGAGCGATAGACGCAAGGAGGCTCGCAAGAAGCGGAGGGTGATGAAGAAAATGGAGCAAGCACGGAGCAAAGCGGCGGCGATTGCCGATCCAACATCTCGAACAAGTCCAAGAACAGGATGATGGACAAGAAAGCGGTGGCGACAGCGTCGTTGTGGTGAAGAAAGGCGTGAGGGTCAAGGGTGGCAAAGGGGTGGATCGTCGCATGAAGAAGGATTCATGATTCAAAGGTTGGCAGCCTGCGAACAAAGGCAAAGGTGGCAAGCCTGCGAGCAAAGGCAAAGGTGGTGCAAGATGATTATTGTCTTACACATATTGGGAGCTGCTGGGTGACAACGTTGTTGAGACCAGGGCCAGCCTGGCTGCCTTCACGAGGTCCCTCTACAATGACATTGTAATTCTCAATCGCTACACATGGATTCCACACATTAGAGAGCAAGAATCTTGAAAGTGCAATACGTACGCTGAGTGTTGCGAGATGCATCGGCTGCCAAACGGAGAGGAAGGAAGAACAAGCATTTTCGCCATTTTTTTTGAACGAGCTACAATTTCAAGGTTGCATCTGTTTATATCTGCTGCTGGGCAACGCCTGCATGCATTGCGTAATTAGCTACTATTTAGAAATAAAGGGAATGTCACTACTAGGATGATGGAAATCTACTCTGAATGAAACTTGTTATATCCGTCCAGCAAGGTTGCTCTCCAGCACATTTACATAATACTTTTAACTCTGGTTCTGCAATCTTGGGTTGTGTGCCAGATCACAACTAGTTATATTGTGACTTAGGGAGATGTTTACAAGTGCACATTACCCATGATGTACTTGTAAACATTACTTTGAGTATAATTTCACAGAATTCACCATACAGTTAATGATACTTTTTAACAATTATAAATATATCAGGTCAAAATTCATTTTATTTCAGTAAAATTAAATAGAAAAGGCACAATAAAGAATATTCTATACTGATTCGTATAACAGAAAATAACAAAGACAGCTTTTTTTAATCATTCTCAATGAAAAAGCCTATAAAAAATCTTATCAGCTTTGGCGCCATCAATACAAATGGCATTGTTTAACGTTGACTTTTTTTCTTTCTTTGTTATACTTGGAATCATATTATCAAGCAGCTCATTTAAGCTGTTATGGCTCAAATCAATCCCATAGTGGTAATCTCACAAGGGAACAAACTTAAACTGCTGTTACATTTAGAAAGAATCCAAGAAAAGGGAGAAATCCTTGTCTAAACACCAAATTCATATTCAAGAGAAAAATTGCTATGATTTAAATCAATCCTATAGTGGTAAATCTTGCAAGAGAATTGAACTGCTGTTGCATTTAGAAAGGATCCAAAAAAAGGGAGAAATCCTTGTCGAAACACCAAATTCATATTTAATAAATAAACTTTTGACTTTAACCTTTCCAAAGATGCTAAACTTTAAATATTTCAAAAAAAATTAATTTAATGAAAAAAGGGGTGTATTCTTGTTCATAGGCCTTTTCTCTTTATATTTAAACCATTATGAATTATTTTTTAAATTATTGCATAATATATGTTGACTTCAATTACCTAATTCAATATTGAACCATATGACAGTTCTGGATATTTACCAATTGGCCATATGAATGAAAGTGTGAAGATTTAGCTCAGTGCTTGGAAAGCTCTTCAATTCAAACATCAGATCAAAATTGAATTTATCTCTCAAGAAATTAAAATAATAAGTATGCAATCTTAAATGGAATTTTGGTTTTATTGAATTCACGTTTAAATTAAACCTTTTAAATTAGAGGATTTTAGCCTAATTTAAAATTTTAATGCTATTATTTTCAAATGTTAGGATTTATGAGTGTGGTTGGTTGTAAACCACAGAAATGGATGTATAATCCTCTATCAAAGACACACACCACCGCATCAAAAGGATTAACAGTGACATGAGAGGTAATTGTGATATGGTGCATATGAGAGGAAGAGTCTGAAAGATTTGATATTAAAGGATCATGAAGATTATTTTGATAGTAGACTAATGATAAATGGTTCATATGCCTATTAAATTAACTACTTTAATTTATACTTAGGTTGATTGGCCACTGTTTGTCACTTAAGAACACACTGCAAATCCTTTCATCACAACTCCCTACCACTTGGTAAATTAATTGATTAAGCACCTAGTTGCCAATTTGTGTTGCCACTAAGAATTCAGCTAGAACTATTGATTTTCTTGGTGTTTCTAGCTAAGATCCGTATAAATTATCCATGAATATTTTAATTCTTGAAACATTATAGAATATTCTTAAATAGGATATTAGGGAAAACTACATTAATTCTATCATTAATATGAACAACTTACTTTTAAATTAAACTACATTTATAAAATATAATGTAATAGTGTGGTGCTTAACTAATTTAATAGTGGGCACAAAACCCTTATGTTTTAAGCTTTTAACATCACAGAAAAAAAAACATCTAGTCTATCAAGACACATAGTCTTGGCATATTCTAGAACCCTAAAAGGCACGTCTTAAGGATTTTAAGGTTAAATCCTTAACCTTAAAATCTTTAGATAAGGTGTTTAAAAAAGTTTATAAATTATAAGCAAGCTTATAATTTATAAAATAACTTAATTATATATTTAAAATTTTTCTGCTTATTGCACTTGGTTTGCTTAATAGTAGTGTGATTCATGTTTAGTATTATTGAATAATTCAGCTGATCAATAACCATAAATATATTTATAAATTTTAAATATTGTATATCTGGTAGAATAAACAAGAATATACTAGGAAGTGTTTAGAAAAATTTAAAAATTTATAAATACCAGATTAATCTAAATGAATAACAGCTGTTAGATGGTAAAATATATTAGAATATCCAAGTATATTTTAAATATATTCACTCATTCTTTGTATTTTTAAATAAATTGCTATGCATTGCAAGTAGAAATGCTTGGTTTGCTTAATAGTAGTGTTATTCTTACTTATTAATCCAATTGATCAAATAAAATTTTTAATATAAGCATATTTATAATTTATAAACACAAGATTAATCTTATCCATTAGATGATAGAATAAAAAATAATATACTAGAAAGGGTTTAAGAAAGTTTATAAAGTATAAGATGTTTATAAATTATAAATACAAGATCAATCTTAATGAATAACAACTGTTAGATAAAAAAATATTCTAGAATATTCAAACATATTTTAGGTGTATCCACTACTCTACAAAGTTTGTTTAAGCAAACCAAAAATGATACCCTATAAAGTTTGTAAATACATGTATATATATATATATATATATATATATATATATATATATATATATATATATATATATATATAT